CTCACGAGTGACGGAACGAAGGCCGACGGACGGAAGTTTGGTTTGCCCGCCAAGGAGGTAGAGGCCCTGGAGGCAGTCAGGAGACTTTGGGGAGTAACCTCAGGAGAATGCGAGGGAGTGGTGTCCCCGAGGACGGAAAGGTTGAGCTCGAGTGTCGCAATGGTGGCTACCAAATGCTCCGCAGAACCGTTGCTAGTGACTGTATCGAGCAAGCTAGACGAGGGAATGACACGGCCGTCGAGACCCTCGAGATGACGGGCGCAGAGGGCTGCAGGGAGATCGAAATGGCACACCGTGCCAAACCCAGAGCGCGGAGGGTTGGGGTCCGCCGCGGCAGATCCAGAGGGAGGCAGACGGGCAGCTAGCAGACGAGTTACTGTACGAAGGATAGTTCGAGCCCCCACCCGCTCGGGACCTGGTGAGCGATGTATTCTCATTTTTTTCTAGTCTGTCCCTATGTTATTCCCATAGTAGTGAGACACGCTCCATCGTGACGTGACGTAGTTTCACGCAGGAGCGCTATGCACATGCGTGCTGCGCGCTGAAGCTCATTGCTCATTAGTCGATTAACTTTCGTCTTCTTCGTCCCGACTTCCCTATGCCTCCTGCGCGTCGTGTTCCCGGGAAGTCCTCTAACTCGAACTCTAGGTCACAGGGCTCTAACAGCGCCAACAGCTCAGCTTTTGGTGGAGAACCCGGGCAAGGCAACGATGACGGTATCGCCAACACCTCCGCGGCCGCCCCTAGCGAGCAGGTTCCCCAAGAACCTCCCCTCGGTGCTGGTTTTGGAGCCCTTCAAGCTTTCCTCCAAGACCACGAGTTGGAGGAGGCCGATCTGTGGTTTCTTGAAGACAACGACCTTCCCGATCTCATACTTAGAGTTCAACTACGTCGGTACCGTACGACGAGGGTACCCCCGCCAATCGCGATGTTCGGTCAACCCGACGACACTGGCAATGCCCCAGAGAAGGTATGGCATACCCCGCCATCTGTGATGCAGCAGCACTCACTGCTGGGAACTCATTTCTCAAGCGGTACCCCGGCTCCCACTTTTGCTGGCCACGAAAATGGACCGCCGAACGCTCCCAACCTAGCAGTAGCGGCTGATCCCCGTTCGCACTCATCCGATGATGTT